TCTGGCAGAAGATGACTGTGCTGGCACAGCTGTGCCAGGAGATTTGATTCTTTTTCTTGCACTGTTAGTTTGCATGAATCTATTCAAGCTATGCTTTTTTGCAATCATAGGGCCAACAACCTATCAATCATCATTGAGCCTTTAGATCCGCCCCTTTCCCAGGTTTTGGAGGGAAAGGGGGACTTTCAGTTCAGTCTCACAGTTTGGAGCCCTACAGTAGGACGTGTGGGCTTTTCTCTACCCCACCTGTAAAAAGCTTCGCTTCTTACAGTTCTGCTGGGGTCAAAGAAATAGATCTACAGCCAGCTTTTGCTGGGGAGAAAGGAAAACCTCTACAGCTTTGCTGGGCAAAGTTACAATTCCACAGCCTTTGTGGAGAAACTAAAAGGACACCAGCTTGGCAGATCTGCAGCAACCATTGCCTGGTAAGGGACCACTCGGGCTATCCATAACGCAGCTTGGAGCTGGGAGTTGGGGCCTCATGCCATCAGGGTTAAGAAAGTTTGCCCAAGGAGGGGTTGGAAGGTTTCCTTAAAGAAGATAGGAACAGTTTATCAAGCAGTTGCCTGTCCCTTGTCAGCAGACCAAGAAAGCTACCAGTTTTTCAAGATTATATGGCATTTTATTCATTTGTTCCTTAATAAAGAACTTTGTTGGATTTACTCTGAGCCTCTACAGAACTTTGAATTGGGAAACCTGTGGGACGCTTTAGCTGAGGCACCCCGACGTCCCGTTGGGCATACAGAAAGCACGTCCTATAAACAGACATTGTCTTAGGCCCAGCGCACAACAGCACAATGACCATAAAGACACACTGGAGAACTTAGGGTCCTTCCACACAGCTATATATCTCAGAATATCAAGGCAGAAAATTCCTTAATATCTGCTTTGAACTGGGTTATCTAAGTCCACACTTAGATAATGTGGGATTTTCTGCCTTGATATTCTGGGATATAGGGCTGTGTGGAAGGGCCATTAGAGACTCCTAAAGAGAAACTCTTAAGAAAATCTATGAATAATCACATCCACAAAACTGAAACCCACAAATGTGGAGGGCCTTTTGTATATGATATTCCTCTGGCTCAGTAGGGGGAAGAGCTGAGTTCAGTATTTGACAGTGAACTCAGGAAACAATGCTAAAAAGAGGCAACGGTGTGTGTTGACCTGTTCTGAATCCCTGAACTGCCATGCTGCCTCACAACTGCAAATGGCAACCATCTTATTGCCAGTGTTGAACTACAATTCATCTTACAGAAGCAGAGTATTTTCTTGTTCACTGCTAAAACACCTTGAACTTGCCCTGGCAGGAGGCAGTAGTAAGTCCCTGGCAATAACAATTTGGAGGAGATGCAGAAAAGAACATATTTCTGGGTTCTTAAACAGTAAAATTCAAGCAAGGTGCTAATCCAAAGTACGCCAAAGTGATAAAACCACCAATAAGCTAACCATAACAGGTTTTTTTAGTCCTTTAGTAGATATCGCGCAGTTGGGGAGGAAAGAAATGCAAGAATACAAGACAAAAACCAGAATTTTACAAGCAATTTGGTTTTAGATTGGCTTAAGTGCCGTAGGAATTTTTAAAATAGTGGCAATGCCAAAATAAAAAAAAATGCAAAAAAAGATGAAAAAGCAATATTCAGTTCCTAGAAGGATACTGTTTGATCAGGAATTCCATCCCTCTGCTTCCACCTAATTATTTATGAATCTGCCACAAAAAACAGTATCCACATGCTCAGAGGCCACAGCTGTTTCAGATGAAAGAACCTAAGGATACTACCCACCTCGATACTTCAGGGGGCACAGCACTGATGTTTACATGATTCAAGAAGTTAACAGTTTGTTAATGTTGCAAATGAACAGTTTTATATTTTCAAATAAATTCTGGAACTAAACAATGAGTGAACTCTGGCTTGGCTTAGAATGGAGACAATATCAGGTGGCCCTTCATATTCATGGATTCTGCATCTGCTGATTCAACCACCCATTGCTTGAAAATATGTTTTCAATCAAACCTAGATTTTTCTGTTTTTATATCAGGATTACTATAATGGCACTTGTGCATCCATGGATTTTCTATCCACAAAGGGAGGGAGTTGTGGTCATAAAATCAAACCTCAGAAAATACCAAGGGTATACCTCTGCCATGTGATCCTATGACATCGCTAGGCAGAAAGCATCAATATCAAGACTTAGGCTGGATCTACACTGCCATATAATGCAGTTTGAATCTGCATTATATGATCAGTGAAGACCAGACATAGGAAAACTTTGGCCCTCCAGGTATTTTGGACTTCAGCTCCCAAAAATCCCAACCATTTTACCGGCTGTTAGGAATTGCATATGAAATGTGCATACGAAACAGAAATATCTTGTGTGTTTATGCTTGGGTATCTCTACAGCACCTGCTACACTGACATATAATCCTGATGATCAAAGCAGATAATCCACATTATCTGCTTTGAACTGGGGCCCCTTCCACACAGCTGAATAAAATCCCACATTATCTGCTTTAAACTGGAACACATGGCAGTGTAGACTCAGATAACCCAGTTCAAAGCAGATATTGGGGGATTTTCTGCCTTGATATTCTGGAATATAGGGTTGTGTGGAAGGACCCTCAGAGCCCTTATAGACAGACCCTATATCCCAGGGTCTGACCCCAGGTTTTCTATTTATCCCAGATTATCTGCAAATGCGGATTCATATAACCCAGTTTAAAGCAGAAAACCTGGGATCAGATCCTGGGATATAGGGCCTGTCTGGAAGGGCCCTCAGATAACCCAGAGCCCTTCCATACAGCCCTATGTCCCAGAATATCAAGGCAGAAAATCCCACAATATCTGCTTTGAACTGGTTTATCTGAGTCCACACTCAGATAATGTGGGATTTTCTGCCTTGATATTCTGGGATATAGGGCTGTGTGGAAGGGACCCTAGAGAGGCCCAATATCCTAGGATCCGTTCCCAGGTTTTCTGTTTATTCCAGATTATCTGTTAGTGCGGACTCAGATAATCCAGATTAAAGCAGAAAACCTGGGATCAGATCCTGGGATATAGGGTCTGTCTGGAAGGACCCTCAGATAACCCAGAGTCCTTCCACACAGCCCTTTATCCCAGTAGCGCAGTGAGTTAAACCCCTGTCCCGGCAGGACTGAAGACCAACAGGTCGCAGATTCGAATCTGGGGAGGGCGCAGATGAGCTCCCTCTATCAGCTCCAGCTCCTCATGCGGGGACATGAGAGAAGCCTCCCACAAGGATGATAAAACATCAAAACATCCGGGTGTCCCCTGGGCAACATCCTTGCAGACGGGCAATTCTCTCACACCAGAAGCTACTTGCAATTTCTCAAGTCGCTCCTGACATGACAAAACAAAAAAACCAAGGCAGAAAATCCCACACTATCCATTTTGAACTGGTTTATTTGAGTCCACACTCAGATAATGTGGGATTTTCTGCCTCTATATTCTGTGATATACGATTATGTGGAAGGGCCCCCAGTTCAAAGCAAATATTATGGGATTTTTTTTTTTTTGCCTTGATAGTCTGGGTTATGGGAGTCCCGGTGACACAGTGGGTTAAAGTGGTGAGCTTGTTGACCAAAAGGTCGCAGGTTCGAATCCAGGGGAGCTTCCGCTGTCAGCCCCAGCTTCTGTCAACCTAGAAATTCGAAAACATGCAAATGTGAGTAGATCAATAGGTACCGCTCTGGCGGGAAGGTAACGGCGCTCAACATGATTTAGGAGGGGTTTTTTTTGTCATGTCAGGAGCTACTTGAGAAACTGCAAGTTGCTTCTGGTGTGAGAGAATTAGCCGTCTGCAAGGACGTTGCCCAGGGGATCCCCGGATGACTTGATGTTTTTATCATCCTTGTAGGAGGCTTCTCTCATGTCCCTGCATGAGGAGCTGGAGTTGAGGGAGCTCATCCGCCTTCCCCAGATAGAGGGAGCTCATCCGCCTTCCCCAGATTCGAACCCGCGACCTGTCGGTCTTCAGTCCTGCCGGCACAGGGGTTTAACCCACTGTGCCACCGTGGGCTCCATACTTAGGAGGTGTCTACGGACAAAGCTGGCTCTTTGGCCTAGAAATGGAGATGAGCACCACATCTCAGAGTCGGCCACGACTGGACTTAATGTCAGGGGAAAACTTTTACCTTTACCTTAAAGGTAAAGGTTGTCCCCTGACATTAAGTCCAGTCATGTCACCTGGCTTATATGACTGTGTGGAAGGGCCCTGGATTATATGAACCTAAGGTAAAAGGTAAAGGTAGTCCCCTGACATTAAGTCCAGTCATGTCCGACTCTGGGGTGTGGTGCTCATCTCTATTTCTAAGCCGAAGAGCCAGCGTTGTCCGTAGACACCTCCAAGGTCATGTGGCCAGCATGACTGCATGGAGCGCCGTTACCTTCCTGCCGGAGCAGTACCTATTGATCTACTCACATTTGCATGCTTTCGAACTGCTAGGTTGGCAGAAGCTAGGGCTGACAGCGGAAGCTCACGCCGCTCCCCGGAATCGAACCTGCGACCTTTCGATCAACAAGCTCAGCAGCTCAGTGCTTTAACCCACTGCACCACCGGGGGCTCCTACATTGCAGATAATCTGGATTTTATATGGCAGTGTAGAAGGGGTCCAAGCTATCTATGTACAGGAAATAAGAGGCCTAGATCATATACAAGTGCAAGGACTCCCAAATCCAAAAGAAAACAGCATCCCAAATATTTCAGGTCCCAAAAAAATCTAATAATAATAATAATATTACAATTAATCAACAACAAAAAAGAGCCACAATCAAGGAAACAAAAAGGGAGATGCTGAGACACAAAGAGCACAGTTGAGGCTGCAAGGAAGGGACAGAAGATGCTTGATTCAAGAAACAAGAGGCTGGCAATGTGGTGGGAATTGGGGGGCAAAGGGGTTTGCTGGGTATTGCTTTCGCCTTTGTACTGGGAAGAGGGAGGAGGGATCAGGAGGGATGGAAACCCCGAGAAGCTAACGAGTCTACCTCCTTCTTCTTTTGGCTTTCCCCGAGCTGGACACAAAAGAGGAGGAGGAGGAAAAGGAGGCCGCCCCTTGCGGGCAGGTGCCAGGAGAAAGGTGGTGCTGGTGGTGATGAAGCCATGGCTTCCCAATCGCGTCGCCTTCCTCCGGAGTACCTGGCCAAGGAGAACGCCGTTATCCACGCCGTTTTCCTGGGCGCTGATTGGGCCGGCCAATGAGCCAGCAGACAGGCAGGCTGTGCTGCAAAACCTTCTGGGAAATGTAGTCTTTCTCTCTCTCTCAATTTCCTCCATCACTCTGATCACCCTCCTGTTTCTCTTTCCCACGAGGATGGGTTTGGATTGCTGTTGCTTTGCCCTCGTTGCCAAAAGTATATTGGATGCCATGCACCTTGCCTCGGAAAGAAGGCTCCCTTTGTTCATTGATTCTGTTTATAACTGGGACTCTCAAGGCAACTAACACCCAACTATGTAATGCAAAGCGCTGAATGCTCATAATAATAATAATAATAATAATAATAAAAATAATAATAATCTTTATTTGTACCCCGCTACCATCTCCCCAAGGGACTCGGTGCGGCTTACATGAGGCCAAGCCCACAACACATCAATAAAAAAGCGATAACAAATAATCAATACAAACTGGGTTGTTGTAAGTTTTTTCGGCCTATATGGCCATGGTCTAGAGGCATTCTCTCCTGACGTTTCGCCTGCATCTATGACAAGCATCCTCAGAGGTAGTGAGGTCTGTTGTAACAAGGAAAAAACAAACAAGGACATCTAATCACCTCTCAACAAAGGTTTGCTCCAGGCACTGTCGGGCCATTATATGCTGATCAAGGAGGTCAGTTGAAACATTCACACCTAGCTCCAGCAGACAAGAGTCCTTTGTCCCACCCTGGTCATTCCACAGATATATAAACCCTTTTCCCTAGTTCCAACAGACCTCACTACCTCTGAGGATGCTTGCCATAGATGCTGGTGATTGGAAGTTGTAGTTCACTTACATCCAGAGAGCGCTATGGACTCAAACAATGATGGATCTGGACCAAACTTGGCACGGATACTCAATATGCCCAAATGTGAACACTGGTGGAGTTTGGGGTAAATAGACCTTGATATTTGGGCGTTGTAGTTGCTGGGATTTATAGTTCACCTACAATCAAAGACACTCTGAACCCAGTCCATGATGAATCTGCATCAAACTTGGCACACTACCTACTCAGCCAACACCGAATACTGGTGGGGTTGGGGGGATGTTTTTGAATTCTGGGAGTTGGCGACGCCCTCTGAAACCCCCTCGCGACCCCTGCAGGGGTCCCGACCCCTAGGTTGAGAAACACTGATATAAAATATAGCAGTAAAATATAATTAAAACAATAAAACCAAAATGATAAATCAAAGTTTGGTTTTGATAAGGGAATTATTATTATTATTATATTATAACTTTATTTGTACCCCGCTAGCATCTCCCAAGGGATTCGATGCGGCTTACACAGGCCGAAGCCCCAAAACACAATACAACAATACAATACCTAAAGCAAATTAAAAACAGTTAAGCAGAAAACAATAACAGTAACAATACAACAAGACACTATTAAAACTGGGCCGGCCAGAGTAGGGGTACAGGATTAAAAGTGCTGATGTGGCGGGAGGAATGTAGGATTATAATATAAGTGCGGTGTGCAGTGTGCAGTGAACTTGGTTCTACTAAGGTGCTTCTAGGATTTGGTGCTGGGGTTCCTAATCTGAAAAGGCACATCGGAACAGCCAAGTTTTCAATTCCTTCCTGAAGACTGCCAATGTAGGGACTTGTCTGAGATTTTTCGGGAGGGTGTTCCAAAGTCGGGGGGCCACCACAGAAAAGGCCCTGTCTCGCGTCCCCACCAAGCGTGCTTGCGACGCGGGCGGGATCACGAGCAGGGCCTCTCCAGATGACCGGAGTGAGTTCGTAGACAGCGATACGGTCACGCAGGTAGGGTAGTCCCAAACCGTTCAGGGCTTTGTAGGTAAGCACCTGCACCTTAAATTGGAATCCAAGGGAAAACTCAGCAGTCCATTGTAAATACTAGTCATGTGCATTTAGGACTTACCTTGATCCATTTCGTGTCTTGGCTTTCGGTGAGGCCCCTGAGCCTCTTGAAATTTCATCTGAGCCTCCTAAAATTGGGAGGTCAGATATTTGTTTTTTGTTTTCATTTTCTTTTTCATTATTGGGGAAGGGGGCTTCACCCATAGGCCCAAAGCACCTGGGCTTGCAGGTGCAAGCTTTGGGCCTACACACCGGGGCCTAGCAGGGTCTGCAGCCAAGCACCAAGTAAGGAGCACTTTTTACTCAGGGTGCAGCTGAAGGCCCTGCCAGGCCCCGGTGTATAGGCCCAAAGCTTGCACCCATAGGCCCAGGTACTTTGAGTGTACGGGTGCAGGCTTCCCAGCCTATGTGCCCAAGCCTGGCAGGGCCTGCAGCTGAGTACTGAGTAAGGAGTGTTCCTTACACAGTGCTCGGCCGCAGGCCCTGCAAGGCCCGGGCACATAGGCCCAAGCACCAGGTTGCCTGCAGCCGAGCACAGAGTAAGGAGCACTCAGTACTTGGCACTTGGCTGCAGGTACTGCTAGACCCCACACAATCCATCTGAAAAATAGGCCCACCTGCCTTTCGTATCAATTGCATTTTCATTTCAGAAGGGGCCTTTCCGTTTCATGCCATCTGAATGGACAGAACAAAACAGAAGCATAAATGAAATGAATGGGATAAATTTCAGGCCCTTTGCAGGTTTATGATCCGACCAGTTCTTTACTTCTAGCAGGTGGTACTTGTGACATAAGTTCCAATGAATCATTTGGGCCACAGAGTTGTGCCTCCGTTTGTAGTCCGTCTGTGCGATTTTCTTGCAGCAGCTGAGGATAAGATCAATGGTTCCATCAGCTTCCTTGCACAGTCTGCATTTTGGATCATCAGCTGATTTTTTAATCCTGGCCTTAATTGCATTGGTTCTGATAGCTTGCTCCTGGACTACAAGAATCAGGCCTTCTGTCTTCTTCTTCAGTGTTCCATTTGTGAGCCATAACAAGGTCTTCTCCCTGTCAGCTTTTCCTTCAATTTTGTCAAGGAACTGTATTATTATTATTATTATTATTAGTATTCTTATTATTCTTATTTTACTGACACAAAAACACAGTATGTCACAGCAAATGAGATCTATATGCTGGATTTCGTATCACCAAATCACAAGTCAAACACTTCCCAAGTGTCTAGGACTGTGTGATGTATTTTCGAATTTATTTATTTATTCATCGTGTCAGTATCAACCAGACAATCGTATTACATTTTAAACAAATTTTTAACAAACAGACAAAACAGAGTTTGCAAGCTTGGTAGTTGATTAAATGTCCTTTGACCAGTATCTGGCCACTTGGAGTGCTTCTGGTGTTGCTGCAAGGAGGTCCTCCTTGGGCACATAGGCATGTGGCGGGGCTCAGGTTGCATTGCAGCAGGTGGTCTGTAGTTTGCTTTTCTCCACACTCGCATGATGTGGATTCCACTTTGTGGCCCCATTTCTAAAGGTTGGCTCTGCATCTCGTGGTGCCAGAGCGCAGTCTGTTCAGCGCCTTCCAAGTCGCCCAGTCTTCTGTGTGCCCAGGGGGAGTCTCATTTGGTATCAGCCATTGGTTGAGGTTCTGGGTTTGAGCCTGCCACTTTTGGACTCTCGCTTGCTGAGGTGTTCCAGCGAGTGTCTGTGTAGATCTTAGAAAACTATTTCTTGATTTAAGTCGTTGACTGTGCTGGCTGATACCCAAACAGGGGATGAGCTGGAGATGTCTCTTCCTTGGTCCTTTCACTATTGGCTGCTACTTCCCGCAGATGTCAGGTGGTGCAATACCTGCTAAACAGTGTAATTTCTCCAGTGGTGTAGGGATGCAGACACCCTGTGATATCGCGGCATGTCTCATTAAGAGCCACATCCACTGTTTTAGTATGGTGAGATGTGTTCCACACTGGGCATGCGTACTCAGCAGCAGAGTAGCAAAGCGCAAGGGCAGATGTCTTCACTGTATCTGGTTGTGATCCCCAGGTTGTGCCAGTCAGCTTTCATATGATATTGTTTCTAGCACCCACTTTTTGCTTGGTGTTCAGGCAGTGCTTCTTGTAGGTAAGAGCACGGTCCAGAGTGACTCCCAGGTATTTGGGTGTGCTGCAATGCTCCAGTGGGATTCCTTCCCAGGTGATCCTCAGAGCTCGGGATGCTTGTCTGTTCTTGAGGTGAAAGCACATGTCTGTGTTTTAGATGGATTAGGGATCAGCTGGTTTTCCCTGTAATAGGCAGTAAGAGCACCTAGAGCTTCGGAGAGCTTCTGTTCAACCATCTCAAAGCTCCCAAAAGATATATCGGCAGATGACAGTTATTTTGCAGTTGCAGTTTTGCAGTTGCAATTATTATTATTATTATTATTATTATTATTATATTAACGAGGTTGGAATCCTGTATGGGAGGCACACTTGATCAAGTGCCATACAGAGCTTCAAAGTAAATCCTTCCCATTTACTAGGCAATGTTTGATAGTGATCTGTTCCCCATCACTTGGGAAACAGCTAATGGATGTTCACATTTTATTCCATGAGCCCACCTCCATTGAAACAGGCAGAAGCAGAACCCTTGACACAATTACTCCTTGTGCTGGAGATTACTCACACAAAGTGAGCTGATTGCTTTCCAGTCAGCAAACCAGGCCCCCACTGATCACAGGGACTGTTGCTCAGTAATAGGGACTGGAGACTTTCATGATCCCTATGTAGCCACTGAACTGGAAGCTACATGAGAATCATGAATATGTAACAGTTTAGAGTGTATAACACTAGGTTGCACATTTGTATTGCCATAAAGAATTCCAGCTGTTGTTTTTGCAAAATAGCTTAATGGCAATTAATGTTTCAATTTTGTGCGACAATGTTTGCAAAGTAACAATTGACTTGTTTTCATAGAATCATAGTAACAGGTGATTTGCTTTCATGGAATCATACTTTCTTCTTCAGACTAAAACAGTTGCCTTTGCGATACATTTTGAAGGATTCTCACCTACCTCATTTTACCCATTTTTAATGTTTTAATTAAAGGAACTCCAGCAAAATGTAACAAGTTTATTTCCTCCACATTTTGGTTTCATAATGAGTGACTTAGTGCATTTTAAAGTAATTTTTAAGCTCTGGGGTGTATTCTTAT